TTAGGACGTTGCTATAAGTGTGGCCTCCGTGGCCATTATGCTGTGGCATGCCGTTCACGCATGTACTTTACTAAAACTACAAATATTATAATAGTCCTGTGATATTACAGTAGTCAAAAATATCGGACAAATTAACTTTAACATAAATTTTAATAATTATTGTATGTTCGAAAATGAATGTTTCTTCGACAATGTTCCTTGAAAATACAAAAAATAAGCACATGCAATTATAATATTATTCTGCATATATAGAACAAGTAGTATAGATATGCGGGTTCTAGCGCATTTTTGATCCGCTTTCTAAACCGGTTCAAACCGGTTCGGTAAATGTCGATTAATGAATGACGTCATTAATTAATTCAGGCTCGCTCCGTCCCTCTAACGCATTTCTTTTCCGGAATTCAATTAATGACGTCATCATTCACATGATCATTTTCCAAAGAATTCAATGATGACGTCATCACAGCTTCTAAAACTATTTTTTTAATCCTTCCGAGAGATTCGATAGTGTCCTATTGCCAGTGTGTTTATTTTATCGTTCAAAATTATCCGCTTATCGTCGTTTGCCGAAAGTGCCGTTTTGAAGACGAAGTGTCTTATAGAGAATCTCATGTATAATAAACAATGGGAAGAGAGAATATGTTCGAACATTACACTAGGGAGAGGATGTACAGCCATAAGCCGTACAACCGGAAGCCGAAGGCGGAACCGTATCAGAAACGTTGTTCGGTTTGTATGATTTGGGCTAGTCGGAAGGGAATTACCAAGGACTTTTGGTGTAAACATATGAAACACAACCTCAAGTATTTTAGATAATTTATTTTAATGGATTTGAATCGAAAAAAAAAAAAAAAGTATATAATAAAGAAAGAATGTCCATTACCAAAGCTTCAGACTTTACCAAAGACTCGTTCGCTTTCGATGATGCCGTCGGAAACAGATACGGGTCCAAGAAGATTAAATTAACGGCACGAGATCAGGGTCCACTTTTATTGAAACTCGAGGACTGCTTGTCTTATGGAGTGAGCAGAAACAACAAGTTCGGCAAGGAAAATTACTCCATCTCCCTAGCCCTGAGGGACAAGAAGGAGTTTGTGTCAGTCTTGGAACTGGTGGAAAAGGAGTCTGCTGATCATGTTGGTAAGTCGGATGAAAACATCATGAAATGTCTTTACCGGAAGGGTAGCACTCCGACCCTATACGTAAAGATTGTTGACGAAACGGAGATCTATCCTCCGAAAGGAGACGAACCCGTGGACCATAGAAAGTATCAGGATAAGTGGTTTCACCTTGACGCGATCGTCAGGATCGAAAGTATCTATATGTCTAGCAGTATAACCTCCATGCAGGTAAAGCTGTATGAGGCAAATATATTGGAGAAAAAGCCTAAGGTACCGAGGAAGAGACTTTTACGACAACGGGATTAGGAATGTCAGCAGAAACAATTTTAATGTTTGTAAGAACATTAAAATTTAAGGAGCATTGACATTTTCTCCTTTTCCCGGACAGCTTACCTTTGAGCTGATCACATGTTTTCCGACAGTGATTCCACCACTTAGTATTCCGATGAGTGGGATGTATGGTGTTATATAACTGACAAGGTTTTTTATATCTTTTCTGAGCAGACTGTTTTCCTCCAGTTTTTTTGGTGATGCGAACTTGGTGATGATAACGTCAGCCAGTTGGTTGTTTGTGTTTTCCAGCTGTTGTCTTTCATAGTCTTTGTATATGTTTTCCAGCGTCTTTTCAGATGCCTTCTTAATATATTTTGAGGTATACTTGATTTCATTCGCATCGGCCAGCTTCAGTAGATTTTCCCTTAGATCGCTTGCAACGGATGTTTCGGTCGTCTCGGGTTCTACAGATTCGAATATGGTTTCCATTCCTTTATTTAATATGCTGAATAATTGTTTTGTGGGTATAGGGTCGGCGTAATAGTATTTCCAGTCTGGCATAGTCGTTGTTCATTAGCGAATCGACAATTTCCTTCCTTTCTTCTTTCTTCACTTTTGCGAGGTAGTCATCCATTATGATGTTTGTATCTTTTGCGCTCGGGTTGTAAAAGGTTACGAGTTTGGATATATTTTCCCTATAAGGCTTAGCAATGGATGTGAGTTGTTGGGTGATAACGACGGTCGATATTCCCATATGTCTGGCGTTAAACCCAAGTTTTACCAGTTCGCTGGTCCTGTTTTTGACGGACTGACTACTAGCACAGTCATCAAGGACTATTAGGCTATTTGTTCCTCTTGCAAAATGCGAAACGTATTCTAAACACTGGTTTATATCATTCTGCTTGCAGGGTATGATTATGAAGTCCTTATCCATGTTGTATTTCCAGTCCTGATACGTTTTGTTCCACTCGTATGTGGGACATATTAGAAATATGTACTCGAAGTGGTTCTTATAGTCGTTCTCCAACATTTCCAGTAGGTAGTAGGTTTTCCCACATCCGGTCATTCCGAGAATGATCATGTTGAATGGTGTTTTCAGTGGTTCCATCTTTTATTTAATAACTAATACCTTGAAGAGTCTTTTCGCTGATGTTTATGAGTCCGTCTGATAACACAAAGATGTTACAGAGGATGTCTTCAGTCATTGCGACGGTATCGATCTCCAGAAGAATTCCGGGATTATCACCAAGAATCTTTTTCCCACTTCCAACGATATGGTTGTCATCGGCAGCCCTCAGGTCGATTACCAGTGCGAATTTATCCCTGTAAAATTTCCTGACGCTTATGTTATCGTTGCAGGCGTTGTTGGCTATTCCGAATAGTCTTTTTGCTTCGTCGTAGAAATTCTCGTATGTTAAGCCTTGACTGTATACGGCATTTGGTTTCCCCTCTATCGTAACCTTTACCTTCTCCATACTTGGGAAGACGTATTCCTTGCTGTCGGTTATTGTTCTTTTTCTGAAAAGTAAGACCACGGCCCTCATGCTTTCCCTCGGAACGTCTATGCTCTCGTTGAACCTCGTAGCACCCTTTGCCCACACGGTTGTTTTCAACAGTGTTGTATGTTCGTAGGATAGGGATCTACCGGTCTCGTATCCTTCGTTTACTCGTTTGGCTAGTTCTTCGTTCTCTATGGTTTCGTATTCCAGGTGTATGTTTTTCAGCGTATATCCTTCCACCTTCTCGTTTGCCTGTGCAACCATAATCTTGTCGGCTTTTGGAAGGGTTACCGTGTACTCGAATCCGCTTTTCATGTTGTATGGTGCGTATGGACCATGATCGTTGAGAATTTTTCCAAGTTTCATCTTCTGCTCTTTGTATACCTTCGCCATCATCAGGTCATAACCGCCGTCCTCCTTTGCGGTCTGATCGATACTGTTATCCTTCGATAACATCTTTCTTGTGTTTTCGTTCATAATTCCATATTCTACCATGTTCGCTCTTTTTGAGTCGATCTTCCAGAGATCCTTATAAATTTCAATGAGGCTTTCACCATTATTGTCGTATACTATCTCACCCCCCCCACCCTTATCATGAGTCGCTCGCACAGAAGTTTACCGAGGTTATTCATGAACCAGGATTTGGTGTTTTCGTTCTTGAACTCGTACGACAGGCGAAACGAGTCCGGAACGATACAGGTGTTCGGTTCCAGTTTTGGAACTACAATCCGGATGTCATTTCCAGGGTTGGATTCGTTTGGAGTGAATGTAACGTAGTTACATACCCTGTTCCCTACAACGTCGGAGGTCAGTGCCCTTTTGAAACCGGGCGTAAGTTCTTGGCTTCTCTTTTCCATTCCTTTTATTATACTGACTAATTATTAAATTTTTCGAACTTTGGTTTGGGTTCGTCCTGTACTTGTGGTTCTGCTGTGTGATTAGGATTGTCCGTAGGTTTGACCCTACAGTATACGTAGTAGATTCCCCATATTGCAGCTGCTACGACTCCGGCGTAAATCAGCGTATTTACCGAATCACCTTGATTGGAATTATTTTCAATGCTACGTCTTTCTTCAGATTTCCTTGCTTTTGCTTCCCTAGATATTGCGGCCAGTCTTTTACCCGATTCTACCCTTCTAGGATCCTTTGGTTTTTGAGTCTTTTCCGCCTTTGTTATTGTCGGTTCATCCATTCTTTATTTAATATATTTACTTTTTTAGAATTTCTAGTCAGATCAAGTCAAATTCTAGTCAGAGCTAGTTACAGCATAACTTTAACTAGATTTTAGCATAACTTTAACTAGGTTTAGCATCTAGTCAAATTTTAGTTGATTTCTAGTCTAATTCTAGTCAAATTCTAGTCAAAGCTAGTTGCAGCATAACCTTAAATAATTTCAAGGTCACCTATTTAAAGAAATATTTTTTATATAATAAATATGAGTTATTCCATCTTACAACTGGAAGAGATAAGTTCTCTCGTACAGCTGGAAGAGGTGTAACGTTCGCTGTTCAATGCGTTCGAAGAGGTGAAAAGGGGGGTACAACCAGACCTGAGCGATCTACCTCTAAGGAAGGGGGGTCTATCTGACGTGTTTAAAGTGGTACAAGGTCTAGCACCGGGTAGTAGAAGTGAGTTTTTGGAAAATATCAAAGAAATCGATGAGGAGTATTGCAAGCGTAGGAAGCGGGAGTTGATCGTAGAGACTTTTAAGCAGCTGGAAAGTCATCCTGACTATAGGGAAACGGATTACGAGAAAAGGGAGCGTCTGAGGAAGGAAGCTGATAACCACGAACGCAAAAGAAGGATGGAAATCTGTGAATTCGGAGGTGAACATCAGCTTATTGATATAAACGGGGAAAGGACGTGTCACAAATGTGGATTAATTACGGGACCCACGTCCCCTGTTCCGAACTATGGTTGTTGGGACAACGCAATCATGAGTCGTCGGAAATTGAGCATTAGTGATAGATTCAAATCATTTTGTACCAGAAGGAAAATAACGCGTTGCGATCTATCAGTGCACGAGAGGTGTTCAGTAGTATATGACATTGATAAAGTCCGTAATGCAGAAGTGCCTAGGAGGAATAGGCTTCCTAATCTCGATATACTGACCTATCAAATATGTAAGAGACTTGACATAAAGGTGGACGAGGGGTTACTTAAAATTCCAGCAAGCAGACCCCCACACGATCGGTGTAAGGAAATATTCCGTACGTTGGGTTGGGAATATATCGAGTATGGTTGTCAGAGCAAGACATCCACAAAAAATCCTAGTAAAACAACCGCAGGGAATACGGTTGTGAAGGATCTAAATATGTCCGACATCGACTTCAGGTATGAAGGTTTTTGTAAGAGGATGAAAATAACATACCTCATGTTACCGGTAAAGGATAGGAATAGAATCATGGAAGACATCAAAAAGGTGTACGACGCGGAGAAACCGAAAATGAAATCGCTTCCTAACCTCAATATCCTAACCTACCAAGCATGCAAAAGACTTAGCATAACAATGGACAAAAAGCTGCTTAACATTCCGGTAAGCAGAGCCCCACATGATCGATGTAAGAAAGCATTCCAGACGCTGGGCTGGGAATACGTTAAATAATTTTAACGCTTTTTATCAAGCATTAAAATTGGAATAGTAATTTAAGGACAATGATGACGAGAAGAATTTCAACCGTTATCGGGATGAGTAGACAGAACACCAGACTCATCCACGTTAGTCTCCGCAGTATTTGAGTTTTCGTCATTTATTTTAACGTACTTTTTTACCGTTGCGCTGACGTATCCGATTTGGGTGTGAGCGTTGATAGTGAGATCACCGCGTTCTATACCGATTCCGAAACTAAACATCTTTCTTTTCCGGTGGTTCCTGTCGTATTTTGCTTCATCAGTGGTCTCAGGTTTTGTGTGTAAACACCCCATTTTATTTATTCTTCCTTTTATTTTCCGTCGACTTTGGTTTTTCTTCCCTTGCAGCCCTTGCCGACGTCTCCGCTTTGCCTTTTTTGCACGACGTAAAGGTAAAGGAGGTAAATCAGGTTGTTAGATGCTTTCGGTACGCTTACCGTGTTAGGATGTGATACGGGTTCCTTGTCCTTACGCGGTATAAGGTTTAGATTTACCACAGGACTCTTTTTTATCTCCTTAGGCTTTGAGTAGTTGACATCCGTATTACTACCAAACCTCATGTCCTTTGTTGCTAGTGTGAGTGTATTGTTTTACCCTGCTATTTTTTCCCTGAGTATAGTCATATTGGATGGTATTAATATTAATCCGGGTGATATTGCCATGCTAAGTACAACGTTAGTATCCTTTATTGCTTTCCTCATATTGGAGATGGATACCGATACATCGTCTTGTGCAACGGTGTCTTTGAAAAGTTTGTGAAATACGTCCTGAGTTTGCAGGGACTTCGCCCCCTTACCAACGATAGACCAACGTGTCTGTGCTTGCGCGCCTAATACACAATAGACATAACTTTCGACAGATTGCTGAAGTAGCTTTAATCCCAGAGGTGTCAACCCGTCCGATTTTTTGGCTATGAATTGGGTGTAGTCCGTATCACTGTTGTTAGTGACCTTGTCCACTTCCTGATAGCTAATTCCCATCACACCACCTGTATGGTAGTATGAGTATCTATAGTTTCTGACCCTACTCTTATCCGGAAGTCTGCTATGCCAGAGACCTATTTCCATTTGTCCCCGATGGAATTTGTTGACCCATGTTTTCCGTGTGGGCATGTGTCTCTGCAGGGACTTTAGCATACCTTTCGTTATATACTTTGTCATTTTGCTAGGATTTCTGAGGAACCTACGCATGTGGTAGTATAGGTGACACCTAGCAATACTTGTGATTACCTTTGAGGTTCCTTTGCTTTCCAGCAGGTGTTCCGTACTTATCCCACACTTATACGTAATAATGTAAGCAGCCAGTATAGATACAAAATAGGGATCGTTTATATAATTGAATTTTACCCCGGTGATATCCTTTGCGGTACCGGTCCACTTCGTGTCAAGATCGGCGAAGTTGGAGACAAAGCTGTTGTGGGAGGTGTTAATGCAGTCGCAAACGTAAATTTCGAACTTATTTATTCTGTACGGAAGTGGATCCCTGTTATGTCTAAAGGTTTGAATGGTTCCGTAATTACCCCATATTCTCTCCCATTGGTAAAGGTACCACGTCCACTTTTTATTTCCCCTGAATGTGTTGGATGTGATGTTGTAACTTTCCGCGTCCGTAACCTTAAAGAATATGTCCTTGGATTCCAAAGTTCCATCCTTTGCAAATGTAACCTTAAAGTCAAATTTTAACATTTTTGCGCCCGGATATTTCTTCCTAAAATCCTCCTTCATCTTCCGTATTTCAACGGGTGCTGCCGCCTTTACTTTTTCGTAGTTCTGTCCGTAATAGTTGCGAAAGATGTCTTCACTGGTACTCATTTTATTTAATACATATAATAAAAATGAAGAAGTTAACGGTGTTTATCGAGGACGTAACTACCGAGTTTTTCCCGGACAAGTGTATTATGACGAACGCAGAGTCGGAATTAATCCTGAAGAACGCAACCATCTACTGGGCTTATAAGAACATACGTTTGAATGTCAACGATAATATTACCTATGGACAAAAGAAGATTACCTTCGAAGATGGTTACTGGACCTTCGATGCAATAAAGAAGAGACTGAAGGCAGACGGAATAAAAGTGGAACGTAACACACACAACAATACCTGTAGGATCTACCCGGCAACCGGGGCATACCTGCATTTAAACGAATTTGCTCCCCTAATAGGATTTCCAAAGACAGAGATCCTAACCCCCGGAGTGTGGGAGAGATCTCCCTATCCTATAGGTATTAATCACGGTCTTAAATATATTACCGTCGACTGCGATGTTGTTAATACATCCCTAAATATTGACGTAAACGGTAAAGGAAGTTTTACGGTGAGCACGTTACCCGTGACATCCGACCAACACCTGAACGGAACAACAACGTTTTTCAAGGATATTGGAAGTAGGGTTTATATTAATAACGGTTCCCACAACAGATTTTCCTTCAGTATCAATACGAACATCGACGATAAGGTCGATATGTCCGCACTCCTCGAATTTTATATCATATAAATAAAATGGAAGACGAACACTTTGTTACCGAACAAGGGTTAAGGGATATTTACTTCAATCCGGGTACCGGCTATCAATCCGCGGGGAAGCTCTACCGGAAGGCAAAGGAGGAGGGACTGGATGTTAGTCGGAAAATAGTAAGGGATTGGTTAAAGACCCAAGACACCTACACAAGGTATAAGCCTATCGTTAGAAAACACAAATTTCAGAGGACATTCGTTAAGGACCTAGCGGACCAGGTGCAGATGGATCTAGTGGATATGGGAAAATACAAAAATTAGAACAAGGGATATTACTGGATACTAACAGCTGTCGAGATCCTGAGCCGTTACGGATTTGCTATTCCCGTCTACAGAAAGGATACGAAAAATATGACGAAGGCTGTGAACTTATTACTGGAGGAATTCAGAAAAAGGTTTGGGAAATACCCGGAAGTTGCTCAGTTCGACGAGGGAAAGGAATTCTACAATGTTGGTGTTAGAGACCTATTACAAAAACACGACGGCCGCTATTTTTCCACAAACTCAGACAGAAAGGCAGCTATCGTTGAAAGATTTAACAGGACCTTGAAGACAATGATGTGGAAGTATTTCTACAGCAAAAGAACTTACAATTGGGTCGATGCTCTGGACGAGCTTACAAATAACTACAATCATACCAAACACAGCAGTATACTAATGAGGCCTGCAGACGTAAACAAGTCAAACAAGGACCAGGTATGGATCACGCTATACGGTCACGGATTAGGGGAATTTCCATTACCTAGGTTTAGGGTTGATGATACGGTTCGAATAACAAAGTATAAAAATATCTTTACCAAGGGTTACGAAGCAAACTTTACGGAAGAGATATTCAAAGTTGTGGGGGTATTCAGAGGAGATCCTAACATGTACGAAACAGAAAGTCATGACGTTGAACCGATCATCGGAAAGTTTTACGAAGAGGAACTATCCGCTGTGGACAAAAAGGACGATGTGTATAGGGTGGAGAAAATTCTTAGAAGAAGGAAAGGTATGGTACTGGTCAAGTGGTTAGGATACGATAGTAAGCACAATTCCTGGATTCCAGAAGAAAATATTAAGGATATAAAATAAATGGCTGACATTGAACTAGAAGAAACAAACCGCGTCGACTAACGCGAAGCCGAAGAAGCTGGAACGGTGAAGGAAGAAACAAGTTTCACTGACAACGACGAAAGACGGGACGAAAGTATATTAATTCCCGTCGGATTCAATCCGGACGTCGATGGATCAAGACCCAGCGGTTCCACACCGAACATCAGACGGGATGCTGGGGTAATGAAACGGGCCTATACGCTGGATAAAAAGGATTTCCTCAAAGGAGTAAATATCAATAAGGGTGACGGTCCATTTTCCACCATCATCTTTGACAAAATTAAACTAACCGTAAATAAGGCCGGAACAAAAATTAACGGTGTTACATTCAGAGATGTTAAGATCATTATCTCGAAAAATGGTAAAATGATATACTCCACGGACAAGAACAAGGAATCCGTCGTAAACGAATACAAAGAACTAATTAGGAAAGCTAAAATAGAGCATTCGAAAACACCTGCAGCTTTGGTGGAGGAACAACTCGAACGACAGAACCTGGATGCTCCTCAGGAACTTGTGGATAACGTACTGGAAAATATCGTTGAAAGAATGGATGACGAACTGTCCAGTCAAAGCGAAGCCATCGGTAATAGTACGGTTATAACGGAAAACGAACTGAGGGAACTGAGGGGTATCCTAAACGTAAAGGGAAACTCGGGTAAGCAAAAAATTGAGTACCTTGAAATAGAAAAAAATCATTGGAAAGAACTGGCTAGGACCGAACGAACTGCAGGACGTGAACAGAAGGCTCTCCTGTATGAAGCAATGGCAGACATGGCAGAATTGAAAGCGGACGAAGTAAGGTTAAGATCAAACGAACGACCAAAAGGACCGAAAGCCATGTCCATCGTGGAAGAGGTGGTAGAAGTAAACGATCTTACGAGGTTCGAAAGATTCAGGAAATGGGCAAAAGAAAATATTGCTGGAATATCAGCCGTAGCAATATCTGTGGCCGGTATCATCACCACGATTATTATGGGGGTTAGAAGCGTAGCAAAAAAGGGAGCGAGAGCAACGAGCAAGTTCGCAAAAGCAATGGCAAATCTAGCCGGAAAGGTTGAACCCGTACTGGCATCCGTACTAAATCTCGTCGCTAAGATTCTATCATGGGGAGCAAAGGGGATTGCGTTCCTGGCGAAGAATCTTTGGATTTTAGCCTTAGCATTAACTTACTTCCTGTACAATGAATACAGGAAAAGAAAAAATAAATAAGAGTACATATAATAAAACATGGGAGATAGAAAGGACTTTATGAACGAAGCCTTCGACGCCGGACTTATTACGCTAGGAGCAGTCGCTGTATCCATAGTAAGCAAAAAACTTGCAGGTTACAGTCTTGGAGTACCTAGTAATCCGGAAGGAATTCTAAAACTAGCCGTAGCCCTTGATGTAGGTGCGGTCGGAGTTCACTACCTACAGTTCAAAAAGCTGGTACCTGACGATCCATTCAAATAAATCATTATAATAAAAGGATGACAAATGTTGTAGTTGGTGGACTATTCAACGCCGTAGCATTCGCAGGAGCCGGATACCTGTTCAGCAAGTTAAACCACAGCGGGTACGAGGTTGAAATGAAAAGACACAACAAAGCGCTGGAAAAATTAGCCAAGGCTAAGAAAAAATGGTACGAAAGCCAAGTGGAAAAGAAGAACAGAATCGCAATACTCAGGCAGGAACTAGTTGATGCCAAATCGGATATGGAGACGACAAACCGTGCTCTTGACTCCCTGCGGAAAGCGCAGGAGGAATTAACCCTGGATAGGGAACCGACGATCCACGATTACTACAAACCATCTAGCGAAATGGAAGAATACCAGCAGATCACGATCGGAATAATAGGACTGGGGTCCGGGTTTGTAATCACAAAATTACTGTAGACCCGTTAAAATTTTAATGTTCCCTCGAATATTAAAATTGGCTTCTACTGTCTTAGGCTTTTGTGTCCGATTGCTAGCGTGTGGATTCCATCCTCCACAATTATCCTCTTGTCATCATTTGCAGACAGGGCTACCTTGACAACCCTTTCAGTACATATTTCGTGTAACCTACTTCTGAAGACATTCATTCCCCTCCATTGTTTCTCGCCGCTGAAGAAACATTCCTTATAATTTTCGAATGTTATTTCTTTTTTGATGACTACTTTCTTTACTCCCTTACACTTCTTTTCCTCACCACCGTCTTCCGCCATTTTGTAAGCATATAGCTTTGACCTTAATCCCACAAACTCTTCAATCTGTTTTGCACCCGTTTCCAGCTTCATCATTCCAATAACCTTCTTGTTCACACCCGTTTGGATTCCGGACGGATGATCTTTACCCAGATTGCTGGTGTCGAATCTTTCGAGGACATCGTCGGATATATCCTTGAAGAAATCCTCAGTCTTAATTTCGTAGCATAGGGAATCCGTGTCAGTGAATAGGAGCTCGGCATTATCCCCATACTTTGGTTTAATGTAATTGTAGTGGAGGTCGTACATGAGGATCTTACTAATGTCGAGGATGCTCATCCCCAAGTATATAGGCTTATTCAGTTTTACGGACGTCTTCATCATATGAACTGCCACTAGGTTTTCGGAAAAGATGGTCGCAGATTTGTAGTTATGCCTTTGAGCCAACTTGTTCCACTTCTTCTCGTTATTAACAAGTTTTATGTCGACCCTATTCCTAACATTTTCCATCGTCTTTCCGAATACCGAGTTGTTCATAAGCTTAAAAAAGTCCTTTTCAAAGTCTGTAGTACCTTTGGTACGCAGGTCCGTGTTGAGCTGAATATATTTCTCCAGCCATGGCTCTTCAACGAATTTTACCCCTCGGTGTATCTTGGTTAACCTTAACCCCTGACTTAGGTACAGCTTTAACGTCTCGTGGTGGACAACGTACTTTTCCTTATTGTTGAGGTTTGGAATAAGTTTTTCCACTCCGTTAACCACTATCCTTTCGGGTGCGAGTGGGTATTCGTTATGTTTGTCATGTAGTTCGTCGGGGTATTCCAGGTCCACTTCGAGGATGCAGCCGTAGTCTGTCCACTTCTCCAGCTCTTCGTCACTCGTCCATTTGAAGTCTCTGACGGGTAGAGGTTGACTCATTGCCCACCCGTATAGATTGTTCGCATCCATATAGGGTAGGTATGTGGACCACCCCTTGTCGTCACGGCTGGTTACCAGTTCCATACCGGTAATTGTTGAAATAATCATGCTAAGCACTGATATGATTACGGATGATAGATCGGAAAACGTTTCTCCCACCCACTTTTTAAATCCTTCCAACCAGGTTAGGTTCTTAGAAAGTCTGATGTACTTATTATCTGCCCTGGCATACCTTTTGGTAATAGTGCTGATACCAGCCCGAATACCCTTTTCAGTGAACAGATACATATCCGGATCGGATATGAGGTCCAGCTCCACACCGGTTAATATCAGCGCAGCGTCCCATGCCAGCCCGGGTGCTGTGTAGTACCACATCGGATCCAATCCGTAGTTGGTCTTACAAACCTTTCTAAAATTTTCCATCACATCTGTCAGGAGGAGGACGTCCGTTACCAGGTACAGATCGTGATAGTTCCTCATGGTTTTCATGTTGAAGGTATTCCATACGTTCCAGGCCCTTTCATAATCCGTGTCGCTTATGTTTTCGTTGTTAAGCTTGCTGAAGAACCTCTCCTTCGGTGGGAGCGACGTCTCTCCAAGCCTCTCAAAACCATCCATATATTCATAAGGGTAAACACCCTTCTGTTTAAGTAACTCCCTAGTGCTACTACCCATCATCAAATCCAAAATTTTGAAGTCGTCCTTACCCAAACCATTGACGAGCTTGTCCAGGGAGCTTGCCATGAATTTGAACGAGTCAAGAAACCTCAGCTCTCTTATAACCTTCTTCTCCTTTCCGTTTTCGTCGATAAACTTACCAACCTCTATCTCCTTAGTAAAGGAAATGTACTTCTCTTCCGTTTTCGGAATACACTTGATATCCTCACTACTTACCCCAAGGTTTCTGATAAATAGATGAGCATCGTATCCTTCGAGGTTGTGAAGAAGTACCGGAATGAATTTGGGTCTCCTCATTTTTAAATTACAAGTACTATGTGCCGCACCCCTGTACGCTCCCGTATAGTGACAATGATCCCTAACCTTATGGTCTTCTGTAGTGAATTCCTTTCCGCATGCATAACAGACGGTCGCCCTTTCATAATTTTTGACGTCTTCGAAAAAAATCTTGATAGGTTCCTTAAACTTAAACCTGTTGTATATATCACGAACCTCCTCTTCCAACATATCCACAAACTTTTTGGTAACGTCTTCCCCCACGTATTGTTGTGTATGGTGTACCAGCCTGGGCTTATAGACGGAGTCATCGAAACACTTAACGTAGTAACTGAATCCGCTGGGGCTGTGTTTCTGGTATTGAGCAGTACTCGATCTGTTGGGATTCTGCCCAACCGTGTCCATCCCTTCGATGTAACATTCGAAGTCTGCATAGATGACAAACGGAACGGTTTGTACTCTTTCATAGTTTTTAAACTTTGCGGTTGTGCCGGGTTCTGGATACTCTTGCCTACAGTGGTCGTTGTTCAAACATAACTCCAGATGTCTTTTCAAAAGTTCAGCCGATCCGAATGCGTTGAGGCAGCGGTTGCAAATATGTTTTTTGTTCTTTTTTCCATTGATCTGTGAGCCTACAAGTCTTGACATATCCTTGATAACACTATAGTGGTTCTTCCACAAAAAGATATTTACTGGACCGGCACTGCTGGATATTCGCAAGGGACATACCTTATGACATCCGTGAAGCCCAAACACGTTCACACGAATGTTATTGTTCTTTTCAAACTTTTTGATATTGTTTAGGGGTGTCGGAAACTCTATCCCTTCCCAGTCTAGCTTCTCAGCCTGTTTCCTAAGAATCCTTGTAATCCTTTCGGAGTTGCGTTCGATCGGGTTCAGTGCGCGGGTCACAGCCCACCTAAAACATTCGTTGTCATCATTCTTCATATTAATAATCGCTTTCTTCTTCCTGATCGTCTCGGATAATGGTACGTAACCCTTTCCCCTTAACGGTTGGTATTTTCCGATATGAATTTCGAGCAAATCTACCCTCCGAAGTCTCCACCCACTACCATTCTTCTGGTATTCGGAAAAGGATCTTAATATTTTTTCCTTCATGGTGTTAAAGGACTCTTCCGTGTTGTCCGTACCGACGAGTTTGTGGGTTTTCGATCTGAAGTGTGCGACACGGAATTCTTCTTCCTTAGTTTTCGAATTGTTATTTACCATATCACATGTTAAGGACATGCTCACGTTCCTAGATCGTGTTTCAGAATTTATGAGCGCCTCAACCTCGTCCCTTGTGATGTCAAGAAAGTGGACCGGGTCGTACAATCCGTTAGGATTGATGACATACTTCCTTACCTTATCCTTTATACCATGCTTGGTTAGGATGGGCTTTAGGTCCTCTTCCGGATTGACGTCGTACCACTCTTCATCCTCATCACTAAAGTTTTCCCTTGCATCATACCACTGGCCTTCTTCTTCCTCTTTACCGCCGTATAGTCTTACGACCTTTTTCCTCATGGTGTTAAAAGCGTCGGACACGCCTTTCCTGATGGATGATGGTACGTGGGTTGTTAGCCAGTTGTACCATCCCCTCAACCTTTCAGTAATCCCTGGCGTACTTTTAGTTGTCATTCTTTTATTATATAGAAAAAAAATTTATTTTTTTCAAAAACTGCTGACCCAGCTTTTTCAAACCCAAAGGGTTTAAAAAATAAGAATGACAACTTGTTCCAGGATCCGGGAACTGAAGGGACAGGATCCTTTTTATTATATACCAAAAAGTAAAATTTTTTCAGAAACTGCTGACTCAGCACTTTTATTTCAACCGCGCGGTGGGGAGGGTTTGGGGAGACTTTGGGTAGACTTAGGGTAGACTCTGGCAAGACTTTGGGTAGACTTTGGGTAGACTTTGGGAAGGCTTTGGGTAGACTTTGGGAGGCCACGGGTAGACTTAGGAGAGACTCCGGGCAGACTTTGGGTAGACCCTGGCAGGACTCCGGGTAGACCTATGTAAGGTCGCGGCAAGACTACCCAAAGCGTGGTGCGGCAGGGGCGGGGGGGTTGCGGCATAGTTACGGGCAAGTTTGGGCAAGGCTGAATGCGGGGAAACAGGAAGTGACGTCATAGATCACGTGATCCTATAAACCGGAAGTGACGTCATAGTTCCGGGCAAGTTTGGGCATGGTGCACCGGAAGTGACGTCATAGATCACGTGATCCAAAATCTGCGCAGATGGGGTGCGCAGTGCGCACGTTAGCCTGGTGAGCTAGAACCCGCCATTCTATACTACTAAGGTTATATTTCATTAAGGGGTTGAGTCTTCTTAATAGTTTATTTGTGAATTTATTTTAATATATATCATTTTGATATTGAGCATAATAGTTTTCACCTAAATACATTGTGCTTTACATATTTTCTATTTATGTATGTGTATAATGCTAAATTGAATAGAATATTATTTTTAGCTAAAATGTGTTGATTTAGGTTATGTTAGATGTCACTAAGATGGTTTCGATAAATCGAAACATTGACATGGTCTCGATAAATCGAAACATTGGCATAGTCTCGATAAATCGAAATATTGACTTGGTCTCGATAAATCGAAATATTCACATGGTCTCGATAAATCGAAACATTCACATGGTCTCGATAAATCGAAACATTGACTTGGTCTCGATAACTCGACACATTCACATTTCACATGGTCTCGATAAACTGAAACATTCACATGGTGTCGATAAATCGACGAAACATTGATATAGTTTCCAAATATAAATTGATCAGAGATGCCTTTGGTTAAACCAACATATTTTCACTGTTAGCTGTCATGCTACTTTTGCATTATTTGATCCTTTTCAGAACAGTCTATAAAATGTGTTGTTTATTTTAGGTAAATTTGATTGTTTTAGCAAGAGAAGAAAATTTGCATTCTTTTTTTTGCAAAAAAGGTGTTTTTAAGCACCAATTTTTTTCAGTTTTGGACAAATTTGTTTAAAAATACGAAAATTGGCACCATTTTGGGGTAAATAGAATATTGGACCCTATAGTAGAACGTGTTCAAACAAAAACTTGCAGATAAACCCTTTAGATTGCCGAACTGCTTGGGGTCTATTTTGCTTCTGATTTCATCCATCATCCATCTCATTCCATCTCAATAAATTTTCATAGCCACCCCCCCCCCCCTCTTCCCTCCGTGATTGAACTTGCGTTCTAAACATATACTATTGATCACAGGCGGCCCAATCTCGCGAGGGTCAGCATAGATTTTTAGTAAGGTATATTATAGTAAAAACATGTCATAAAATATAAATTTTAAAATGAAATTGACTTGCCTGTTCGACAGTGTGTGTTCTCCTTTTATTCCTCTTTTGTTGGACCAATATTTTCCGATGCTTTGTACTCAGTGGTACTAAGTATATAGTTTTAAGAAATAATCTCGGTGAGATGCAGCGAAAGGTGACTATGTAAGTCTGTAATTCTTACTCTAAAATGTTATTTGAGTTTGAATCATTTGTTCTAGTTTAAGTTATGTGCCTTCATGAGTTTATGATCATTTTCCAAGTTTGTTCATGCCAAATTGCTTACAAAAGAATTAAAAGTTAAATTTTAAAGAATGCAATTTTGTCATGCATAAAATAAATAATCCTGCAATAAATAATAGTCATGCAATTAATGATTAATACTACTCGTGATATTTGAAAGATGTGCCAAATTGCACTCGCCCCGGTGGCTTGTGCAATTTCACTCGTAATATCAATCGTAATGTTAATCATTAATTGCACTCCTTCTCTTGTGAGGGAGTGGCTATTATTTATTGGTTTGGAAGGGGGTGGATATTTTTTTAGGCACAAGCTAAACTTTTATATATATAAATTAAAAACAAAATAAACGTTGGGTTTTTACATTGCAATTTGAAACAAAAATTCTTCCATTGCAGGGTTCGAAATAGCTGCCAGCAGTTTTAAAACGTCGCCAGCGATTTTTAATTTCAAAGCATGGGGGATTGGCGAAAATATTTATTCACTGATGACTCGCTTGCAATAATACGTACATATAATTAACTGTTGTATGTTTTCCGAGCCAACGGCGCGGAGCAACGTTCCGGGCGTAAGTCCGGGGCGAGGGTACTAATTCCGTCCGGCTATCTACACCCGGGGAAAAGAAAGCATTAGCGAAGTCTAAAGTTCATCAATGATCGCGGGCGTGGGTCACCAACAAAGTTTCGGTGGGTGGTCATCCTCACTGATCTCAAAAATATGGCGGACTGTCATGAATAGCGGACACTAATTGGTCAAATTTAAAGTTTGCATTATAACGACTGCATGACGAACAGCGAAATAGCAAACATTTCTTGATTTTTCAGATTTGATGATTAATGAATGATGATTTCTTGCAAATATATTTCATTTTTGCAAGATTTTGTCAATTTCAAAAGCCTCTTAAGAAAATAAAGGCGAAAGAATTGCTAAAAGAAGGGAGTAGAGGCACCGACGTTAACGAACGTAGATTTGTTTTAAATATTGATGTATTGTTCGCTTTATAACGGCTTTGAAGCTGACAGTTTATTTTAAATCGATATTTTAAATGAAAAAGACTAAAAATTTCAGTGTTTCTTTATTGATTACCCTTTTTTATTATATTAAATGTTGTTTGAATGTGAGAATTTGAAATCATTTTATTTCAAACTCAAAGTTCAGTTTGATACAGCCTTTAAAGGCAGTTTTATAGTTTTATAAAGAACATTTTAAAACGTCTTGTGAAGCTTTTGAGGTTGAATTTTACCTTAAATTGAAACTTATATATATTACGTATAATAACATACTTAACATATATATGTTTGGGGAATTGAAAATTTTGTAATTAAAAGTGATATACTTAGGGGATTTTTCATTTATAAAAATATTCTTAAAAAATTGTCGTGTTACCTGACAACTACTTTAAATACTTCATGTTCGGAAAATACAATGGGGCTTCTGCATGCATGTATTTTCCAGTTAAAGATTATCATGACATTGACTGTAATGTCTATAGTGAGAGGAATCCAACATGAACTGAGGACCAGATTTTGTAAACAGTGACGGATTTTTAGTCATTTATAAATTCATTAATATAGCTAGATCATTAACTTACCTAGCTTAATAGAACCGATCTTAAACTTTTTGTATAAAAAACAATATTTTCTTATTGTTTTTAACTGATTCACACAGAACTTCTTAATGTTTGTTCCTACACCAAATAAAATGTTTGCTGTGTTCTTACAAATGTTGTGTTGGTTTACATCACTATTATTTGGCCTATGCCCACTCCGAGAACATAACTAAACATTGCTTGGAAAACAGCCGGCAAAAATTTTCACCTACAAAAAGCAGCCTACAAAATTTGACATATTTTCAGAACGTTATTTCGAACCCTGTATTGACCTTGTACTTCAAAAATAAGACCAACATTATTAGTTTAGAGCACTAGACTTTTATTAATTTGATATAAGGGTGAGACTAAAGTTGTTTATTTTACAGCTTGGCATGTGATAACACAATATATTCATCATCTACAAACGTGTATTAATTATTTCGATTTTTTAAGTTTGTCCATATATCAATTATTTTGTTTTGTTGTTAATTTAGTTATTTATCAAAACTGCTTTAAGACTATTTTCTAGTAACCCCTCCTTCTTCAAGTCAAGATCAGATAACCCCTCCTTCAGCGACTTACGAAATTTTGTAACCTCCTCCTTCAATTATCCACCCCCTACCACCCCATAAATAATGACCATTCCCTATACTTATATAGCATTGACATTTATATTACAGTGAATAATTGCTGATGTTTTGTGATTATTGTACATTTTTGTTGGTGCCCCCCTACCTTTCCTTGATATTTTTGGTAGCCCCCCTAAATGGTTAATACATTTTTGGTGCCCCCCCCAAACATCTTCCGCCCCCCCCCCGGTATTAATAATGACTGCTCTCTAAATCTATCTAAATTTTCCCGTTAGAAGGTCCGTAGCCCAAGCGCTTTGTGTTCCATTCAACAATTTGACCGGTCTGGCCGTGTTAAAATGGAAAGCGCCAATGGTGTTATTAAGGTAGCCCACAAGTGCAATGCACAAAACAAAATTCCACTACACAATACTCAATTCACGATAAACAAAACTCAATTTCACTACACAAAACTCAATTTCACTGCACAAAACTCAAGTCCACTACACAAAACTTAATTCCACTACACTGCAAAACTTAATTTCACTACACAAAACTTAATTTCACTACACAAAACTTAACTCCACTACACAAACCATTATTTAACTACACAAAACTTAATTCCACTACACAAACCATTATTTAACTACACAAAACTTAATTCCACTACACAAAACTTAATTCCACTACACAAACCATAATTCCACCCCAATCCACCGCACAAAACTCAATTTCGCTACACAAAACTCAATTTTACTACACAAAACTCAATTTCACTACACAAAACTCAATTTTACTACACAAAACTCAATTCACGATACACAACTTGCGCGGGAAAGTGGCATGACCGCCACTGATATTTTTTTACTCCGCCATCTTATAAGCCGTGGAAAGTCGATTTAACGAATAAGAATGTAAAAAAAGCTTTGAATTAACGTCAAATAATGAATTTCAAGTGCCAAAATTGCGGATCTGATGATCTGATGCTTTTCAATTGTCCCGCAAACTGTGGAAATATGTTGACCGAGATGGATATTATCGCACATTACTTTATGAGAGGTTTCGAGTATACTCTGCTTTCTTGTACTCTGCGAACATTGTAAAGCAGGTTTCAAAACTCGTACTTTTTTCTGTTTCCTTTGGGCTTGGCTGTTCGAGATATTTGAGTTCTACTGCAGGGCCTTTTATAACATACAAGCAAATTAGTACAGCAAATGCCCCATCAGTGCCCCTTGTGCCCCCCTCTCCCACGAAATCACATCCCCTCAAACAGGAAAAGTCCCTTTTTCCTAAATTTATACAAACAAAGCGATTTAAATTGTTACGTTTTTCTACCCCTAAGTAATGATAAATTATTGTTAATATTTTTTTAATTAGAGCAAATTTGGATGCTCAGAATGCAGGAAATGGTATTTCCAGGCTTCAAATTTAATTTCAAAAGTTTTCTTGCGGAGTATGCCCCCCCCCCCGACACCCCTAGTGATTCATGCGTGGTATGTCGGCCCCACATGTGGCCTTCAGCCATTGCTATGCCCCTCTAATATATTATCTCACAAAAAGGTCCCTTTCAACCCCCCCTCCCCTCCCATCCTCCACACGGGAAAATCTTTAAAAAAGGCCCTGTTCTACTGTACTTGATGCTGTTTTCTATTCTATACTGTATTTATTTCCTCAAGCTAAGCAAAGATGAAAGAAAAGCTTTGGAGATAATATCCACCATTGGCTGTTCTGTGTCGCTAGTTGGAGTAATTCTGACGATATTGATATACGCATTGTTTTGGAAAAGACTTCATAGAAACTCCAAGAGTAAGGTACCTTCCCAAGTGCTAATGCATCTCTGTGTTGTGATTGGAATGACAGATATCTTTGCTATCTTGGCCGGACCCGCACTAAAATACAAGGTGAAGCTCAGAGAAAACCGTAAGCATACGGGCCTGATACTTTCCGGGGGAGCACTTGAAAGTTTTGTGGAATATTGTAGTGAAATTACGTGAATGTAACATATTTTGTAATACATGTACCCGAATTTTCTTCATTTTTCCTAGCATGTGCCCGAATTTTTTCAATATTTTTTGGGGGTGGGGTTGCCACTTCGCTCCTCTGTCTTGTGCGCCTATGGCAAAAGAACAGGAAACATTTGCAAGAAACCTTTTTCAGGCGGTTGAATAAATTATGTCATCTAAGTATATAGCTCATGCATAGCAAATGTTGGTTGTGACATGTCCAAGGTTGAAAACTAGCAAAATAATGTTTGCAAGACAATAATCACTAAAAACTGCCAGGCAGCATCAACGCTTTATTCTCTTGTTTTTTTTTTCGTTTTTTTTCTCCATAGAAAAAGAAAACATAATTTGTTTTGTTTCTTTCCTTTCTAGACATTCTGTATAGCTGTTTCCATTCTATTATATTTCTTTGTACTCGCTCTTTTTGGATGGATGCTATGTGAAGGAATTATCATTTACCTTCAACTCGTGAAAGTCTTCTCAGGACTGGGTTTGGGAGGAAAACATCTGAAGGGATTCTATGTTATTGGTTGGGGTAAGCAACATTGGAATAAGATTTATAAACCGTCTATCGCCTGAACGTTCTTGGATTGGTATTAAAATACTACGAAGCAAAACAAAATATAAGTATTAAAATAGGATTAAACTAGAGGGCACCTCATACCTCTCCAGCGAAATCAAGTTTTCATACAGAAATCATGCATAGATGCATTAATTACGTGTTCAGATCTTTCAACCCGGAAAAGTAAAACAAAGATGTGACTTATTCAGAAATTTTATGAGAATCTACATTTTTACAGAAAGATATTTTTATGCTTAATTAACAGTTATTTGAAAATTACACTAATTGAATATCTAAATTATTAAATACCTGATTTATAGCCTGCAGCACTAATTTATTCTTAATCCTGTATGACTGTAACGGCATCACGGCCTGTTAATAACCATCCCAACCCCCCTTTTTTCTCTTACCATCCTTACCATCGTCCTCCTATGGTCCCACATTTAAGAACACACGGAATGAGTGTCAACCGAAGTCCTCAAAGTTACTCCCAATTTGCTCGGTTTTTTCAACATTGCCCGAAAACCTTAATGGACATCCCTGTCCAACCACCGTTTCCCTTCGCCTTCCGCGAAAGTTATTAACTTTCTTTCTAGCGAACTCTCGATCACTTTTACCTAAGATTGATGAACTGAAAACTATTTTGCATATGAATGAGGTTGGGTTGGCCTTTATAACTGAGACATGGCTAAATGAAAATGTTGATGACGGTGCCGTTGAAATTAGTGGCTTTTCCTTAGTTCGGCGTGATAGAATTTCTAGAATCGGGGGTGGCGTTTGTGTTTATATTAAAGACCAGATTCGTTTTAAAATCTTAACAGATTTGCATGAAGACAGTTTTGAATCACTTTGGCTTTACTTGAGACCAAATAAACTTTTCCGTGGCTTTTCCTGCCTGATTATCTGTGTGGTCTATCACCCTCCCTCCAATGATAACTGTGCCTTAATCGATCACCTAACATCTAAACTTGACGCTGCTCTTGTATTGTACCCCAACGCTGGTATTTTTCTCATTGGAGACTTTAATAAATGCCCAATTTCCTCCTTACTACGTCATTTTACTTTGAAACAGATAGTTAAAGAACCCACAAGAGGAAATTCCACATTGGACTTAATTTTGACAAATATGTCTTCCTGCTGTAACTCTCCGGTGTTATTACCCCCTTTTGGCCAAAGTGACCATAACTCCGTACTGTGGTCCTTTAATAAAAATACAGCTAAATATGGTACCTCGAAAGTGAAAACTAGACAAGGTAGCAATTATGACAGGAGAGCATTCGGTAAGTGGCTAGCTGATATAAACTGGAACAACTTGTACCGCGCTGAATCATGTGAACAAAAGTTAGATTTTTTTCAAACAGATATAAATACTGGTTTGGACTGTTTTTTCCCTAGTAAAATTGTAAAGTTGCACGATCATGATAAACCTTGGGTTACAGTCGAATTTAAGAAAATTATAGAAAAAAGACAAAGAGCGTTCCGTCAGGGCAAAAGTTTGCTATATCGTAGATTGAGAAATCTTGCCAATAGAGAAAGTAAGAGACTCAAGTCAACCTTCCTTAAGAAAAAGATGGATGAGTTAAAACTAAACCCCAATGCTAAAAAATGGTGGCAATGTATAAAACAGCTTGCGGGTTTCGCCAAGAACAAAACATTCTCTAATTTCATTGTAAACAACCAGGTTTTTGCTGGTAAAGAGTTAGCAGATAAAATCAATGATGTTTTTGTCTCATCTACCCAAGATATTCCCCCCTTGAATAAGTCTCCAGTTGATGACCTAATTGAAAATGGCAGTACAAGTATCCTTCCACAGTTTATTATCGACGAAAAAGATGTATACTGTAAATTTTCCGCCATCCCCGTTTCCAAAACACCTGGTCCTGACGGAATACCTAATTGGGTGCTTAAATCTTATGCATATGTTCTTTCTTCCCCTGTGGCATCGATTTTCAACGCTTCGATTCAAGAAGCTGTTGTACCCTCAATGTGGAAAAAAGTGAACGTTATCCCTGTTCCAAAAAAAATCAGTCCCTAAAGACATTTCTAAAGATTTGCGCCCTATCTCACTTACCACCACTTTATCTAAAATTTGCGAACGGTTTGTTACAGACTGGTTACTTAAGTCAATTGGTGCAAAGATTGATACGCGGCAGTTTGGCTCCGTTAAAAATTTCTCGGCTACTCATGCCCTACTGAGCCTGACCCATCACCTCCTGGGTGCTACAGATGCTTCAAGCAATGCGGTGAGAGTATTCCTGCTTGATTTTGAAAAAGCTTTTGATCGAATAGATCACAACATACTGGTGAATAAGCTACAACAAATTGTTGTTTCCCAAACCATTATTAATTGGATTAGAAGTTTTCTCTCTGATGGTAAACAACGAGTCAAGTTGGCTAACTGTCATTTGGACTTGCAAACGTTAAACGGTGGAGTGCCGCAAGGGTCGGTGTTAGGGCCGGCTTTGTTCCTTGTTATGATAAATGATCTTCTTATTGATTGGAGCGATAGATGGAAGTATGTTGATGACAGTACGTTTGCTGAACGAGTTACATCAACTGAGAGTAGTGAACTACAAGATTTAGTAATTGTTATCTATAATTGGTGTGAAGTTAATAATATGAAGCTCAACATCGGCAAATGTAAGGAAATGGTAATTGACTTTGCAAGAGAAAAACATGAGTTCTTACCGTTAACTATAAATAACGTTGGTATTGAGCGGATAAAATCTGCCCGAATTCTTGGTCTTTCAATTCAAGATGATTTGAAATGGAACGAGCGTGTGAACCATATTGTTAAAAAGGCGGGAAAACGCCTTAATAATAATAATAATAATTTATTTTCACACAAATTGTTACACTATATTGGTAAAGCCGAAGCCATAGGCTTATTTGGCAAAACTATTTAAGAGTATAGCTCGTGGTCAGTACAGAGAATTAAGTATGAATTATTCCAACTGAGTATATAATAAAAAAAGAAAAAACCCAACCGGAAAAAGCTTTTAAATTAGTATAGATAATTCATGCTTTATGGAAAGCAGTATATGCAGCATATATACAGCCAAATTTCAGTCCTTCTTTTTATCCCAGAGCCATTCCACATGCACATGTCAACCATTCTGAGAAGTTAAGTAGTAGTTCTTTAGAATACGTCTAAAATTTTGAGTTGTCAATGATTGCCGAATTAAAAGAGGGATAGAATTCCAATTTTTCGGGCCTTGCGCACGAATGGAAAAAGAATATTTATTTGGAAATGATATGCAAATCCTGTCTATGCCTTGTAAAATGATCATGGATGTTATAATTCAACTCAAATAAGCAAGGATGAAGGAAGGAGATTGTTAACGTGTCTAAAAATAAAACACGAAAGTTGAAATTCATAAATCTGAAAGACAGTGAGGATATTTAATTCCTTAAAGAGCGGTTTGGAAGGAGTGAGAGGGGGAGAATGTGTAATAATTCTCATGATTTTTTTTTTGACATCGAAGTAAAGGATGAAGATGTGTTGTGTAAGATGATCCCCAGATAATAGTGCAGTACTGTAAATAAGGCAAGATTAAAGAATTGTATAGTACTGAGAGTGTTGATCTATCAAGAGAATGACGAGATTTTGCAATTATTCCAGTGTTTTTGGAAATTTTGTAGTGATTAATTGTATATGTGGGATCCAGGACAAATTTTCCTGGATAGTAATTCCCAAAAATATGGTTTGGCTAACCCTTTCTATTAGATGTCCATTAATTTTTATCTCATCCTGTGGGTCGATGTTTTTTTTCCTGCTGGGATGAAAGAGTATAAACTTGGTTTTATCTGGATGCAACGTAAGTTTATTTGCTCTAAGCCAAGAAGCAACTTTAACAAGTTCATGGTTGAGTGTGTTAATGAGGGACGTTATGTTATTGTCACTATAAAATATATTTGTGTCATCTGCGAATAGTATAAAAGATAAGCAGTTGGATGTATTAAATATATCATTTATAAACACAAGAAAAAGTAATGGTCCAAGAACCGAACCTTGGGGAACTCCGCATTTAATAATTTTAGGTGAAGATTGAACATTGTTAATTTCAACATATTGAGATCTTTGACTAAGGTAACTTTTAATCCATGAAAGAGCATTACCACGAAAACCATAAAAAGACATTTTGTCAATTAGGATGTCATGGTTGACAGTATCAAAAGCCTTTTTAAGATCTAGAAACACGCCAACAGTTAGCTTATTATTTTCAAAACCATGATATATTCCGTTTACCAGTTCGAGTATAGCCATGAACGTAGAATGATTTTTTCTAAAGCCATATTGGTGGTGGTTTATAATTTGAAACTTATATAGGAAATCCATGAATCTCTTATACATCACCTTTTCAAGTATTTTTGAGAAACAAGGAAGAATAGAAATCGGTCTAAAGTTGGAAAAATTATGACAATCATTGCTTTTGTAAATAGGCAAAACCTTAGCAATTTTTAGCTGGTTGGGTACACTACCATTGGCCATTGAAGAGTTGAATATGTAACACAATGGTACTGCAAGTATGTGAATACTCGTTTTAATAATAGGCGTTCCAATACCGTCTACCCCTTCACTGTAACTATTTTTCAACGAATTAGTGATAGTTATAATTTCAGAAGGGGAAGTTGGGGTGAGGAATATTGACTCATTAAACGAGCCCAACAAATAATCCCTATGATTATTGTCTGATATGTCTGTAAAATTATTTGAAAGAGAGGTCCCAACATTTATAAAGAAATCGTTAAATTTATTAGCAATTGAATGTGGATTACTGTAAGTTCCACTACCATTTTTCATAGTTGAAGGTATCCTATCCTTTTGTTTACTACCAATAACAGATCTAATAATAGACCATGTTGCTCGTAAATCTGATTTATGGTTCAAAAGTTTATTGTGATAATAACTTTTCCTGGCGAGTTTGACAAGGTAATTGTACTTATTACGATAATTCGTATAAGTTGTCTTATTGGAAATGTCAGGATTTTGAAGGTATTTTTTATATAGGCGATCTTTTTTCATGGAAGAATTATATAAGCCATTAGTAAACCAAGGCTTAGTATTTTTTCTAGTTTGTGTGGTAAAGGTTTTCATAAATGATGTATATAGTTGGTTAGTAGTCATTGTATCATTATTAATAACATCCCAGTTAACATTTTGCAGTTTACGTTGAAATTGTTCAAGACTGTGAGATGTCACTTGTCTTGTCGTGTATGTTTTTGGCTCAGGTTTAGGTATTATATTTAGATCACTAAGTAGGAATATGGGTAAATGATCTGAAAGGTCGGTACGTATAAATAATGCCACTTATCATATCATGATCTAAGTTATTAGTGATAATGTTATCAATCAAAGTGGATGAGTGATAAGTTATTCTAGTAGGTTTAGATATGGTAGGGTACAACTATTAAGGAGAAGAATGTCAACAAAATCATTAGTGGGCTTGTGAGAGTTGGAATTAAGTAAATTAATATTAAAGTCACCCATTATGTAACATAATTTATTTTCAAAACTTATTTTATTGAAAACCTGGTTGATATCTTCATTGAATTGGTTAATATCAGCATCAGGTGGTTTATATATACATCCTACTATAATGTTTTTGCTATGAGGTTGGGCTAATTCAGCAAATATAGATTCATATGTAGAGTGAGAGAATTCCAAGTCAGATCGAAGTTTAAAATCAATAGAGGAGTTGATGTATAGACCAACCCCACCTCCATGCTTAACAATATTTTCAAATTTTAATATTTCAAGTAATCGATAATAAGGTGATGCAGATTGTCTATTGTTTACAAAGAAGATACTACGAACACAATTATTTTCTTTCGCAGTTAGTTTTTTTAAATTACTTGAGTAATCCCTACCCCAACTCATAGATCCATAGCTTAAGTATGGATAAATAAGGGTATAATACAATTGTTTTAACATGTGAATATTTAAATAATTACGTAATTTATAAAATATATCTAAATTTTTAGATATTTTGCTATTTACGTGGGTTATTTGGCTTTTCCAAGTCAAGTGCTCATCTATATATATACCTAAGTATTTAATGCACTTTTTTCGCTCAATATTTAATATTTTTATGTTTGAAGGAAGTAATTTTGGGGAGAACAAATTAACATAAAATTAGTCTTTTGCATATTTATAGACAATTTATTAGCATTACATGAATATTCAGAATGTTTTGGAATTCCTCATTCATAACTTTTCGATTTCTTCAAGGTTCTTACTAGCATAGAATATATTAGCATCATCAGCAAATAAGCGAAAAGAAAGCTTTGTTGACGAATTAGATAAATTATTAACATATAAAAGAAATAATAGTGGCCCTAAAGTGGATCCCTGAGGAATTCCGCATACAACATTTAGAGGCTCAGATTCTATATTTCCAATTTTAACATACTGTAACCTACAGTATTTTGAAGATTTTAAACCAATCCAATACTACACCACGAACTCCATATTTGTTTAATTTATTTAGTAATATATTATGGTTGACTGTATCAAATGCCTTAGAGAAGTCTAAAAAGAGGCTACATGTAATAAGTTAATTATCAATTGAGGTTTTGAGATTATCACTCATCTCTAAAATAGCCAACTCTACGTACAATATCCTTTCCTGAAGCCAAACTGATATAGAAATAAAATTTCATGCTTTTCAATAAATGAAGTCAGCTGATCCGCTATAATCTTTTCAAGTATTTTACTGAAAGGTGACGATAATGCAATAGGCCTATAATTTGTTGGGTCTGTTGTTAAGCCATTCTTATACACAGGTGTTACCCTAGAGACCTTTAATATGTTGGGGACAACGCCTTGCATAATCGATTGATTATAAATATAGGAGAAGGGTTTCGATAATTCTAAGCTAGCATATTTTATTAGTTTATTTGGAATATCTAACGAAGCTTTCCTTATGTCCAGATTAGAAAAAATATATGCTATGTAATTTTCATCAATTGGTGAGAAAAAAAACTATCAGTTGGGCTATTACTTATATACTTAAGTGGGTCACTATCATCGTCTGTGCTGTCAATCAGGCTAGCTAAATTTGTACCTACATTTATAACATGATGATTAAACTGCTCAGCAACATCGTTTGGCTTTGTGTAAAGTTTATTATTTATCATAAGTCTAGTTGGAGAATTAGGTTGACCTTTTGTTTTCCTTTTAATTAAAGTGCCAATAAGCTTCCATGTTTCTTTAAGGTTATTTTGGCACAGTTGAAAATGTTGATTATAATGATCATTTTTTTATTTAGTTTTTAACTGGTTAAGTAGATTGGAATACTGTTTATACTTCTGCACTTTTTCCAGATCTTTCCTGAAAAATGGGAACAGAACATGTTAAAATTTTTACAGGAGAACAGAACATATTAAAATTTTATAAAAAAATAGATAAAAGGAGAAATTTGGCGGAAAATTCTAACCAACAGAAAGAATGTTCCAACCTCGTTTCCAGGCTCTTTCCTCTTGTGGAGGAAAGACCCTGGTCGGAGTTGGTCACGTGGCTTCCAGATTTTGGGTGCTAAATTGATATTGTACTTAGGGAGGAGTGGTAGAGGAGTGTTATATAGTTTCGGGCGATAAAATTTAAATTTGCAACAGAAAACCTGAAAGATTTCGCATTTATTTATGACTTGAATCCTCTCTATATCATTGAGTGTTGGGTTACATTAATCAAACGCGAAGTTACATCAGATTTCAGTGGACATCGAGATAACGATCCTAATCGTTTCATTACTTTCCCTCCAGCTAATTCCGCGTTCTCTCGCCATATCATACATTGATCAAAAATGATCCCAGATATTTAAACTTTACGACACGCTCAATTTCCTGTCCCTTGAGCAGGATACTAAACGTGTTAACTTTATTAAGTTTTGGTTTCGGACCAAACAAAAGCTTGATTTTGGTATAGCCTAGCATCGCCATTTCCCGCCCGTTAAGTTCAACGTTTCTTCTACAAAAGCTTGTAGTTCATCAAATGATCCTGTCCATTATATTTTCCCCTTGCTATTAAGACACAAGTTGTGTATAAAACTTCCTCCTTTAAAAGCCCCGTTTACAAGACCAATTTTTATGTGATAATTTTTATGTGACAATATTTAATTGCTCGTGTAGACGAGGAAAATTGGGCAATTTTTGTGTGACAAATACAGTTGCTGAAAAACTAGCGTGTTAGCTTTTATGTGACAAATAAGAGTTGTCATATACGAAAAATTGCTCGTGTAGATTACTTGTCACATAAAATGTCATATTTTTCTCCCGCCATATTTGCAAAAATATAATTGTAGTTTTGTTGCGCGAGATACCGTTGTTCATAGATATGTTTTAAACAGCAATCAACAATTATCTGTTGTCTCATCTACACAACCAAATACATTTGTCACATAAAAATATGAAAAATTGTAACATAAAAATTGGTCGTGTAAATGGGGCTTATTTTCCTGATTCATTTCGGCTGATATCGATTTACACGTGGATTTATCAGTGAACTGTAATAACACTGGAACGCTAACTGCAGATAAACATGCCCATACTTGCCTGAAGCCAAAATGGCGCTTCTCGCGAGCACGGCCAGCAATAAATTAACTTTCAAAAGGACTGGGGAGAGTTTCGAAAAGCGGGAAATTCAGTCAAAAGTTTGTTTTTGAGCAAAAATCAGCAAGAAAAAGTACTTTTTTATCAAAAGGCTTCAACTTTAAAGATTCAAACCTGGTTTCCTGGATAGTTCTAAGTAGTTTACATCCACTAACAGCAAAAACTTCCTGGGCAACAGCTTCATGATATTCAAAATATTACACAAGTTTGAACGTGCCGAAAAAAATTTCGCACTTTGACTCCTGAAAAAAGAACTTTATAACTGCTCTACGTTCTGGAAACATGTTTTCTATTAAATTTCAGGTATTGTTGAAAGTTTTTAGCTTTGTTCCTTGTTGAAATACAGCTATTTAGTGGTCAAAAACAGACATCTTTTTGGTGACGTATTTTCCACTCCATACGTACATGGCGGCCTTCAATTTGACTTCAAAGATGGCCGCCAAGTTATCGTTCCAGTTCCCTTAGAGTTCACTGGGATTTACTCGACGAATTGTCTGATTTTCTCAACCAATTTAGTGTTTTGTAGGGATTTAGGGTTGTTTAAGGATAAACAAGCTTAATAGCCGCTAATTTTAGTAACTTTGAAACAGATCGCGTAAAAATTGAGCCAAGAATAATAAGATTTAACACAAAAATGTTAAAATTTAGTGGAGCTCCAAGTTAGACGTCCATGTTGACTTTGGTGCTTCCACTTCAGAGGATATTTGCCATCAAAAACACGCATTTTGCAACAGCTGGGAAATTTGTTGTGCATGCGCCAGATTTCCATTGAAACTTGAAGATTTCCCGAAGATTCGGAGAAATATTACGAGATGTTCGTGGTTGTTGTACATTTTTGAATGCCTGTTTAATCTTTATAATTGTTTTGCTTGAGACAAAGCCAAAGACAAAGTAAAATGTAGCCTACTCTACGTTTCCAGTGTATAGAATATCTCGTTTGAACAGCAATACAATATTATAATCTTGACACAAGCAAGTTGAGAAATTAATAGGCTTTCACGGATAAGAAGATCTCACTCAGAAGTGCCTGATGATAGAATTTTGAAATCAGAAGCGGAGACTGGGTGTTTGTGCATGTGTTTGTGAGCGAGTATACTAGACATGGTTGAGATAGAGCGTTCTTTTCCAGTCAAAGGCGAGACTCCCATATGCTCTGAGATACGTGTGTGAATGTGTCGGCGTGTTTGGCCAACATACAATGCGCTACAGCATTGACACGTGAACTGATACACAACATGTGATCTCAGGGCAATGGGAATCCTGTCTTTCAATGGAAAGAAACTAGAAAGGCGACAAGAGGGACGGAAAACAACACGTATGGAAATATGTGGATAAGCAGAAGCAAGAACTTTACTAAGTTGTGTACGGATATGTAGACCATGATGTCCAGTGAAAGGAAGGCAAAAGTAGACAATTTTCTTGGAACATGTATGGACCTTGTCCTTGGTGTTATAAATCCTGTCAAGAAATGTCTTAATGCAACTATCTATAAGTGCTTTAGGATAACCATTGGAAGAAAAGTGAAGACAAAACGTGAAGACAAAGTTCGTAAACTCCTTAATGAACTCAAGAATGAAGAACTTATATCTGAACAACAGCATGATGAACTTACGCCCATTGGCTCTCGGCCAGGTATTCTATATGGCTTACCTAAAGTTCATAAACCTAATTTTCCATTAAGGCCTATTATCTCTGCTATTGGAACTCATGCTTACAAACTTGCTAAGTTTCTTGTACCACTTCTCCGTTCTTTTTCCACTAATTCTTACACTATTTCTGATACATTTATGTTCGTTAAAGAATTACGTGAGCTGCCGATTAATACTAATAATGTTGTAATGGCTAGCTTTGATGTTAAGTCACTTTTTACCAACATTTTTACCACTAGATGAGACTATTAGTATAATTATTAATAAGTGTTTCAATAATACCCCACGCTTTCACGGTTTCACTGTTGATCAATTCACTCGACTTCTTAACTTATCTGTAAAGAATTGTCATTTTTTATTTGATGGTGTTCTTTACAAGCAGGTAGATGGTGTTGCAATGGGTTCACCATGGGTCCACTGTTTGCTAACATCTTTCTATTACTCCATGAAAAATCTTGGTTAGCTGACTGCCCTTCTAACTTTAAACCTTTGTTTTATCGTCGTTATGTTGATGATTGTTTTCTGACTTTTCAATCTCGTGATCATGTGCTTCCCTTCCTCTATTATCTCAATTCCAAACATTCGAATATTCAATTCACACATGAGCTTGAAAACAATTCTTCACTCCCTTTTCTTGATGTTAATGTAATGCGTTCAAACGGCTCATTCACGACCTCTGTCCATCACAAATGCACTTCAACTGGCTTATTCACAAACTTTGATAGCTTTATTCCAGTGATGTACAAAAAAGGTCTCCTCTTCTCTCTTAAATCTCGATATTTCAATATTTGTTCTTCTTACATATCTTTCCAGTCTGAAATGGAAAATTTTATGAATACCATTTCTTCCAATGGTTATCCTAAAGCACTTATAGATAGTTGCATTAACAACAAGGTCCATACATGTTCCAAGAAAATTGTCTACTTTTGCCTTCCTTTCACTGGACATCATGGTCTACATATCCGTACACAACTTAGTAAAGTTCTTGCTTCTGCTTATCCACATATTTCCATACGTGTTGTTTTCCGTCCCTCTTGTCGCCTTTCTAGTTTCTTTCCATTGAAAGACAGGATTCCCATTGCCCTGAGATCACGTGTTGTGTATCAGTTCACGTGTCAATGCTGTAGCGCATTGTATGTTGGCCAAACACGCCGACACATTCACACACGTATCTCAGAGCATATGGGAGTCTCGTCTTTGACTGGAAAAGAACGCTCTATCTCAACCATGTCTAGTATACTCGCTCACAAACACATGCACAAACACTCAGTCTCCGCTTCTGATTTCAAAATTCTATCATCAGGCACTTCTGAGTGGAATCTTCTTATCCGTGAAAGCCTATTAATTTCTCAACTTAACCCTGTCTTTAATGCTAATATTAGATCTACCCCTCTTGAGTTATTTTAGTTACCTATGTAATATTAACCTTAACTATACTAACCATGCACTTAACATTAATCTTTACTTATTAACCAGTTACTGATAAGTTGTTTTCCTTTCTTTCTACTCATTAATTTTGTTCTTTCAAACTATGTAACCGTTTTTGTAATATTAAACCATTATTTTGTAAATATATATACCATACCCTGTAAATTCATTTAGATTGCTCTGAAGATGTTGTATTGTAAACAACGAAACGTTAGCTAATTAAAATTTTACTTTTATTATGTTTGGTTTTAAAGTTATTTGCTGGGCTCTGCTCTTTATCTTTAAACTAAGATTTCCGCCTGGTGTATCAATTGCCACTGTCTAATATAATATGTTGTGGACGCAATATATCAATATAATATGCTGTTAAAGAAATCACGTAATATATCAAAGCATGATATGCTGTCGTTCCTTTGGCTCAATAGACACGCAATATATAACTATAATATAATATTTTTTGACAACGATAATTTACCAGTGTTTCTTAAATATTTTCCTTGTTTAACTAGTAGAACCGAACGTACAAGTGCATCAGAAGACTAAGCGAGAGTATTGTGTAGAAATGCTCTATATTCAATCAAGTTTGTCAACTGTTTAGTATAAATAAGGCATCAGTGCTTATATTGGTAAAATTTACTAAACGAACTAAACTGCATAATATTTTAGTGATATATCAGGGCGCTATAAAACACGGGCGTGGAAACGGCAACGATGCCCCTGATCTATGTGTGATGCGCGGACCCCCCGTAGGTTTTCGAATATTGGAAATTCTCATTCGAATATCAACATTTGAATATTTTGAAAAATAAGACACGGCTAGAGTTAAAATAAGAAACATGGCCTAGTTGAAACTCATTTGCAAATGAGCACCAAAACGATTTACCTCTGGGATGAACTATATGGAATGAGAGGTTTATTTACTTAAAGTTTATGCTACAGTCAAGAGGGAGGATTGTAAAGAAAATGTGGTTTGTCTAGAACAGCCTGAAAAGGTCAGTGCACTTTTAAAGACAAAAAGTGGTTGAAACGGATATTTTTTCTAAAGATACGGTTTTTCCTACGAGACTATAGCTTGGGACTATCTTTTAACGTCCTAGAGAACTGAAAAAAGTACAAGTCGAAATATTTTTTTCGCGCTTCGTGTTTCATGAATAAAATTCGCTGAGTGTTTTATGAATAAAAATCGCTGACAGTGCCGGTAAAAAAATCATGTTTTAACAAAATAGCCAGTCTTCTTTTTAAGAAAAATAACTTTTAAATAACTTTGACAACAACTGTGCAAATTTTTAGGCAAAGTTTTTCACCTAGGAAAAAAGATACGAATAAAAATATTTTTTCCGCGGTTTGAGTTTCATGGCCAAACATGTCAACATTGACCTTGTCCTTTTGAGTGAGACCATGGCCAATCAAGCAAAAAAGCTGTGTTTTAACAAAAAAGCCGGTCTTCTTTATAATAAAAATCGATTTTCAATAACTTTATTAATAACTGTGCAAAACTTCAGGCAAACTTTTTCACCTAAGAAAGAAGAAACAAGTCGAAACATTTTTTTCCGCGCTTCGTGTTTCATGAGTAAAAATGGCTAACAGTGCCTTTGTCGTTTCATGTGAGACCAGGTCAAAACCATGCAGGTAAAAATTATGTTTTAACAAAAAAGCCGGTTTTCTTTTTAATAAAAATTGATTTTCAATAACTTTATCAACAACTGTGCAAATTTTTAGGCCAATTTTTTCACCTAGGAAAAAAGATATAAATAAAAATATTTTTTTCCGCGGTTTGAGTTTCATGGCCAAACATGGCTACATGAACCTTGTCCTTTCGAGTGAGACCATGGCAAAACCAAGCCGAAAAATTGTGTTTTCACAAAAAAGCCGGTCTTCGTTTTAATAAAAATCGATTTTCCATAACTTTATTAATAACTGTGCAAAATTTCAGGCAATGTTTTTCACCTAGGAAAAGGGATACAAGTCGAAACATTTTTTCCGCGCTTCCTGCATACTAAATAAATGGCTAACAGTTGTTTCATGTACGACCATGTCAATACCAAACCGAAAAATCATGTTTTAACAAAAATGCCGACTTTCTGTTGGTAAAAATTATAAATTATATGGTACTATATATCATTCTAACTGTGAATTTTGTGGTAAACAGCTATAGTTTATACATGAACTAGACATTATGTTGAAATATTAACAAGACATTTTTGTCTATGCATGAAAAAAGTAAACTGAGAACTTTAATGTAATGTACTGAAACGGCAGGTTATGATGTTAATACAATTGCTGAGGAACTTAATCAAGATCTAGAAAACGTTTCAGTTTGGTTGTCGGCAAATAAACTAACTTTAAACAAAACGAAGACAGAATACATGATAATAGGTAGTAATAGAAGAGTCAATCATATTAGCATGACGCCTAATATATTCATAAAAGACAGAGAAATTAATAGAGTCAAAACGACCAAATCACTCGGCTTAATGATTGACGAAACACTCTCATGGAATGCTCAAGTTGATCAAATTACAAAAAAGGTTAATTCAGGTCTCAGTATCCTTAAAAGATTGAGAGACATTCTAGATTACCAAACACTGATCAAAATTTATTTATCAATAATTCAACCACATTTCGACTATTGCTCACAGATTTGGGGTTGTCTGGGTAAAGTACTATCTGATAAACTCCAGAAGCTTCAAAATAGAGCATTTCGAATAATAACTCGTGAAAACTATGATACACGTACAATCGATGTTTTGAACAAGGTCGGTTTTCCAAATCTCGTGACTAGAAGAAAACATCATTTAGCCGTCCTAATGTTCAAAGCCAAACATAACATGTTACCAAATTGCTTAACGGAACTTTTCATCACCTCAAATGAAATACATAATTACAATACAAGACAGAGCGAATTCAATTTTGCATTACCTAAACCTAAAACTAATTTTATGAAAAAGTCTTTCGCCTATCGAGGAGCTGAGACTTGGAATAATCTGTCTGCTGACATAAAAGCTAAAACAAGTATCTCTACATTTAAAAATAGTCTAACTGTAAGTGTGTAATTTGTGTGTAATTTAGTTATTATTATTAGATACTGTAGTATATGTGTAATTAGTATAGCTATATACGGCCTATTGGAAGATCACCCGTCTTAATTTTTATAAATATCTTGGTGAAATAGTACCGTTTTTAATAAAGTCAATAAAGTCAACAAAGTCAAAGTCAATGTATATAAAGAAAAGTTTTTGCTCGCTTTGAAAAGACACTTCTTATTGGGTTTATTAAAAAAGACACTTCTTATTGGGAAAAGTGTTAAATTATGCTGACACGGTTAAAAATTCTGAAAACAATTATGTTCAACTAAAGTTTTTTAAGAATTTAATTTACTGAAAAATTGTGTTGCAATGTTAACATTGACTTTAAGTTTGACCGCGATTTGTAGGCTTTTTATGTTTTAGCTCTAACGCGCTGTCGAGAAAATTATGTAAGTGCCAAAATTTAAGCATAGCAAAAAAAGCCGGTAAAAGCCGGTCTTGGTATATATTGTGTACTAAAGCCAGAGAAACTCCACACATTTTTAAGCTATCAAATTTATCTAGGCCTACCTAGTGTTCAGACAGCATTGATTTTAATCTCTGCTGTCGTGCGTAAAGTAATAAAATTTGGTGTCCCTCACTTAAAAATAATTGAAAAACTAACTTATTTTCTCAAATACGTTGGATGCTTCTTACATAAAAAGTTTAATAATAGCATAAAATAATGCTTCTTTTAAAAATTAATCAAAAAAATCTCGCATTAAAAAAGGTCTTACGTCTATTTTCGCACTGGCTTTCAAAGTCGCACAACAATCTTTTTTCCGCCATGTTTTTCCTTTTCTTTTTGTTTTTCTCTCAAAACGCGCGCTAGTGCCAGTTCTCTGGCGCATCACACATAGATCACGCGATAATAAGCGCATTTCCACGCCCGTGTTTTATAGCGCCCTGGATATATTCAGCGTGTCTGTTGAGAACGAAGCAACAACATATTTTATTATTGATATAAGGATCTCCCAATTCCCGTGTTATTTACGTGTTCTCTTGAGAACGAAGCAACAACATATTACTATATTTATTGATATAAGAAATGTCTATTGACTTTGATATTATTTTTCCATTGGATCCAATTGACAGGTAATTTCCCAATGGACAGGGTATTTTGTCCATTGGATCCAATGGACAGGTAAAATTCCATTGGACAATAATTGGTCCATTGGAACATATCTCTCTGGTTTCATAATCATGTCCACATGGGGTCTTGCAACCTGTTAATTACGTAATGGTAAAAACGCGGAAGCTCTTATTCCGATTGCCAACCTTCACATGGTCTCTTATCCGGTTGATGCATAGTTCCGATTGATCCATTGCCGGCCAATGAACATTCCATTTGTCCATTAGATCCAATGGACACGCAAAAGTCCAATGGAAAATTGGAGGTCCATTTGATCCATTTGACAAATGGAATGTCCAAAAGCCTTTTGACTTTTCCATCGGACATCTTGCATAGGTATTGGACATGTATGAGAAATCATTTTATGAAATAAAACTTGAGGTCACCGATCTCGTTTACGAGTTATAAATTACTTTAAGGTGGCTCGATATAGTTATCACAAGAACTCTGCTCAAGAATCGCGAACTCAAAACCGGGTGACGCGTACGCGTCACGCACAGGTCGCGGAAAGTGATAACAAAATGAAAAGAACTTCGATCACGTCATTGCGCCTGTTCTATAGCGATTTCTGTCAATGATGTATTACACCGCTAAAAACATTCATTATACTGACAAAAAATTAAAAAATTTGTAATGCAAAAAAAATTTTACCAAAGAATATGGCACTTTCGCATTTTCCAAAAAATGGCATTACGGAATTTTTATATTTTGCTAAATGTTAGCTTTTCGTCCAAGTAAAATAATGCACGAAAAAAATCGGTGATCACCATGCTTCTTTTCCAACTATACGAGGCGATAGACCATTTTGGAGTGAATTTCGTACACGTATGTCGGCATAGCAACAAACTATCTATTACTAAAACTAATATAATTTGAAAGTAGAGTTACCAAAATATATAAAAAGCCATAATATCCGCTTTTGAAACGTCATTGTTGCCATGGCAACGAGAGTTTCGTTACTTTTGTGAAAATATTCTGTATAATCTATTGGACGTTTTTTTTACATCAATAATAAGATACTTTTTGTTTTTCAACAAATAATAATTACTACAATTCTACAAAATACGGATCCAAATCGTGAATTTTCCATTTTTAAAAAAAACTATAACGAGCCACCTTAATAAGCACTCATTATTATTTCTTCATATAATTAAAAGATTACACTTTCAATTCATCCAATCATTCTCGTGAATGTAGTAGTAAGAGAGGAATTAATGTATTATTTTATATCAATGTGTGTCTATATAATAATTACCGACCAAGCCATAAAATACATTTTATTCAATGGGCATGCATGTTACTTTTTTCCTAACTTTACTTCTCTATAATATATAATAAGAGCCACAGGCATATAAATAATAGATACAGAATGCGCGCGTACTCCTATATCTTTCCTCAGTCAAAATTTTGTTTTCACAAAATGGCCTTTTGACTTACCCAGACTCCTGCGGCAGAAAATTTCACGTACAAAAAATTTCCAAACAAAATAATATCGAGACGTGTAATAACGTTTCGTAAAGGATATAAACTTTCCAAAAAACCTATTTCATTCAGATTTTCTATACGAAAACAAATAGTAAGTTCTTAACAGTATAGAAATAGTTGTCTAAAAATACAGTTTCATGGTTGCTGCCAAAGCCAAACAAAACACAAAAGATCAAGACCAACTCAATAGGCATGTTTTAAAAATATTTCAACTCTTTTCTACTCAACATATGGAGTTCAATGATCTTGTTATACACAAAAACTTTATATTTTTCTGTGTTGCTTGAGGCACACATTTTGAAACGACAGTTTTCGACGATTAATATTTTAAGTGATTTATATATTCTTCGACAACTAAATACTTTTCGGTTAAAAAGTATGAAAACACTTGAAGAAGACATTTGAAGAAAACATTTGAAAAAAACCCAAAAGCTAATAAAGAATGAACCATCATTTTGTAATTTCATTAGATATTAGCAAAATAGACAAACATGCAATGCAGCCCACGTGCAAGCCCACCGAGGAAGGAATAGTGTGCCTGCAAGGAGGACCAGGTGTTTTGTAAAACGTCCCTCTTTATAACACGCCCAATTCGGCGTCAATTGTCAAAAAAAGAACCAATGACAGCAACCCAAATAGTGAACAAACTCGCATTAAAATGTTGCGGAGTTTTCTCTTCTTTAATATTCAAAATAGAATGGCTGTGTTTTATAAACTCCAATAAAGCAAGTAAGGCAGGCAGTAATTGTCAAATTTGCAAGAGGTCATTTTCAACTAAAATCGGAACAGGCAAATTAGTACGAATTTCAACAGAAAACCTGCCTCAAACTTCAAATCGTGAAGAAAGTCGTGCGATCGACATATTAGCATTAATGTGCTTCTGACGCCATTGTTATAAATAAATTGTTTCACTTATCAGATTGTGTGTGCAATTATCGTTGGCGGCGGAAAGTACGAAACTTATTTCAGTTATTTCATTCGGTAGAGAACTCGACAAAAGAAGAGAGCGTTCAGAGTCCAGATCGTTTCGTTTTAAACGGAAATTACCGTCTTCTGTTTCGCTCTCTCAGGAAAGCCCTGCAAATCGCAATATGTTTCCAATAGACTTACATGCAACTGCCTCTAAATCTTCACCGCGAAAAGCGCAGTTTTCTTCAGTGCAAGAACAGAGTCAACATCAACCAAAAGATAATTTTCTTGAAGAACTTATAACGTATCAAGTTTGTTTGAAATTAATGAAACTCAAGTAAAGGTTGCTATAGTTTACCCCATGCCAGTGGTAAATGTTGCTATTCCAACACTTCACGACATGTACAAGCAATCCCCATTGGCATAACAACAAAAACATATCTTCTTTAGTAAACAATAAACAGTCTGTTTTTGTTCAGGCCCATTTTTAATCGAAAAAAGTGATCAGATCTAATTTCAAGCTTAGTGAGAGCCTTTGTGATGAATCACTGACCTAATTATATAATCCAACAGCAAACAGCCAATCAGAATGCTGCGTTCGTGGGCGAACGCGGAAAGTACAAAATACCCGGGCTTCCTTGCAGGCCCACTATTCTTCCCTCGGCCGGCCTGCACGCGGGCTAACATGCAATGAAACTCAGACCATGCAAAACGTTTATGTTTATAACTTTGTTTTTATAAGGCTTGCGCGACTTTTGTAAACGCACAACTGATGCAGCACTTACATTTGCTTTTGTGCTTCCAGCGAACTGAAAGACAAAAGATTTGGGTAATGAAAACTTAGCTTTGTTTATACTTTGTATTTCTCACTCCTAGTCAAATTCAATATGGCGGATTTTAAATTAAGGGGCATGAGTAAGAGTGCATGGAGACATAATTAATTCGTAATCATGCAAGTGCGCATTCTATATCAGTATTATTTCTGTGCCCATAGGAATATACATAATTGATTTGGTGTTTAAAAACTAACGCTGGCATTTGTAAGCGTAAATCAAAGATAGATAAGTTAAATAAATAGAAAATAATACATGGGTGCGCGGAAATACCAGATTTATTTCGAGTGTTGAACATGATATCTCACAAGTGAGCGCAGCGAACGAGTAAGATATCATGTTCAACACGAGAAATAAATCTGGTATAATGGTATATCCAAGCACCCATGTATTTTTCTGTTTATTGTATAACGGACATGCAGTCTTAAAAGAGATAATTTTTACAGAAAAGCGATAATTGAAAAGCGATCATTTTCACATGTGAGATTATCACTTTTATCAGAGCTCGAAATCTCAATAAAGCACTATACTTTATATAATAAATAACAATTATTCGCCGAAGGCGAAGTGATTACCGGTAAATATTCACCTAGACGAAGTCGAGGTGAATATTCACCGTAATCACTGAGCCTGAGGCGAATAATTGTTTTAGTATAAATTTTCAATGAATAAAATAAAATATCCAAATATCAGTTCAATTAAAATTCAGAAATAAAACTGTTTTCGGCCTGTTCATGGTTACCGTCCCTAACAGTGTTGCAGTGTTTCTTGTACGCACAGGCTTTCAAAATAGCTTTTTAGGTGACTTTATTGCTTTATTACAAAGTTGTTTTTATCGATTTCTGCTCAGAATTATTTCTTCACCAGACTTAAAAAATGGTTTCTGTTTAGCAATAATTTTTTCAGGAAATGGCTGAGAAATTTGGTAAAATGAAATGTAAAACTATAATGTGCGAGATAAAGTTTTAATAACACTTTTCACTTTACAAGTTTCGAAAACACAATGCTTTCGTTTCCCCGGGTGCAAATAACCGGGCGGAATTAGTACCCTCGCTCCGGACCTACGCCCGCAACGGCGCTCGGCGCCGTTGGCTTTGGGATTACGCACACACACACAACTCGACAGCAGTATCTAGCGTTACGCGCAGATACAAAAACTATCGCGAACGTTTGTTGTGAGAAACTTGGTATTCCCTCAAAGATCAAAATACACAGGAAACGAGTAACGACCATATCGAGATACCGGGGTGTGTACAAAACACTTTTTAGCTAATTAAATTTGAACCTTTTTATATTCTTCAGTTTTGAACTATGCGATTATTGATAAACTTTAGACTTCGCTAATGCTTTCCCTTCCCTCGAGTGTAAATAGCCGTACGGAATTAGTACCCTCACCCCTGGCTTATGCTCGGGACGATCCTTCGCACCGATGACTCGGGTATAATTATATTACTCAAACTTATAATGCATATCGTTCAAATTTATAATGAGCGTCCAGATTCTTTCTTGTTTTCCTCTTTGCAAGCATAGGGAAAGGTCATTTTATGAAAGTTTTCCCATTCTTTCTTACAGTCATTGGTTTTTGTCGACTTCTATCTTATATACATAAAATAATAATTCTATTTTCATGATATCACATTTTTATGCTTCCTAACCCATTAAAGCCAATATACCTGTATTTAAAATAGCTTTGAACAGTTTTTCTGTTTTTGCAGTTTACGAATCGTTATTGCTTGTTCCTCTATAAAAACATAATGTTGTTCATGGATCGTAAATTAAAGTTTCACCGAGCGACTAAAATTTTTTTGTGTAGGTATGCTGACGAAATTGGTAATCGTAAATTGACCGGACCAATACGCAAAATCTACAGGAAAGATCTAAATCCAAACTACGTAGCATACTATGAATTTGGGTTTGAAGACTGGTGTATTACGTTTTCCGCTGGTCCGAAGACAGGAGATCACAGATTGGTGGAAGAAGGACGGGTTCCAAGAATAACGGACATTTTGATTGACCATGCTACTAAAATGAACAAAGTCTGTCACAAGTTTTTTCGCTTGAATTCCGAAGGTACAACAACTTGTGAAGATGACACAGGAAAAGCTGTTGCTTCAACAATAGATTTGAAGACACTAACAACAGTAAGTTGTCGAAAATATTACGCATATAATATGCATTTTGGGATGAGATTTTTCAATATTTCAAAGAGTGTGGTTTTGCACGAAACCATATAGAGTTCCTTCACCTATTTCCCAACGTAATGTAAATATTCCACAGAATATATTATTGCGCCTGCATGATTTGATAAGGCCACCACAGTGAGTTAATTTCCCTAAGGACTCCGCCAAAATGTGTATATACTGTATGGTGCATGTAAGCTGAAGTAGGACAGTGAAACAAGACAATAATGATTTGATATATCAGAATTATATATAGACTTGGATAAAGACCGTCTCTCTAGAGTCCGACTCGCGAAGCGGCACACGAGGTGTAAAAATGGAGGGAGAGACGAACTTGGCTCATCTGCAATGTTTCGAATCCGATTTATTTATTATTTTTGAATTGTTGTATTTAAAGATACCGGTAGTGATTCATTTTAACTTGTTTAATTACGGTGAATCATGGATTGTTGTGTTATTTTAAATATTATAGGCAACGGCTTATCATGACCTTATATGGTAATACTGCACTGTTGTTATTCTACATTTTGTTAATGGCATATCAATATCTGAATAGTCTATTGATTTCATATGTGAAGCTAGGGAAGATTAATAAGTTTATTAAAGTTATGCTGTGTATTTCATTGATATGTTTAAACATAATACACAAAGAGAAATAAACTTTATTGCCGCCATAGGCAGCTCCCTATTCTTGACGCCCTTTTGTTTTCCAGAGTTCACTCGACCCAGTCTTTCGCGCGATATGTGAAATCTCGATATTTGGTGTCTTTCTTTCGATTTGTCTGTCTGGTATTGTACGATTTGGGGAGGGGGGAGGGGGGCTCAAGGATGTTTTTGAAATGAGGGGACAGCAATCTATATTTATATTTCATTTTGATAAGTAAATTTGCAAACGTAATCAATCTGTGATTGGCCAATTTTGACATCTGTTTAAAGTGGGCGTAACCCGCAGGCTAAGTGGGCGGAAATGGCAAAGCAGGTGGTTTCGTGCAGGCTCTACTTTCTCTGAGCCGTTATGCAGGCTAGAGTTAAACTAATTATATACTGTCATATGGCTGGAAAATTATGCTGCCATGCATGTTATATTTATCACTTATTTACTGAGATCGAGGGATAGCGTGTTTTGTTGACCTGAGACCGCCTTTGTTGCCCAAGGCAAAGCCGAGGGCAACAACGGTGGTCTAGGGTGGTCTAGGGTCAACACAGTGCTAGTGTTTTGTTATATAGTAGGCAGTAGCCTATAATATAAGTGTCAAAGTATTAATAATTTACAGTTATTGGAGTGAACTTTGAAACCAAATCTAGACAAATGTAATGCTATAAATGTCTAATAAAATGAACTTTGGAACTTCACGGTTGATGCACATGCACACTGTATGGTACCCATTCTGTTATAGATTGGTCAATAATTGTTTCATTGTGAACCAGTTTCCCCCTCGCCAATTAAGCATGCAGTGAACTAGGAATGTTCAGTAAGAGAAATTTCCGGTATCGGTATACCGAAAAAATTATACCGATATTATCGGTATACCGGTTTTCCTTTGATAATTATAAAGGAAGATTCTTTAATGGAAATTTTAAGGTAATTTTGAGTAATTCTAAAAGGGAAAACGATAATTTTGAAGCTGTTTCGAAATCTAAATCATTTCAGTAGAAAGTTCTTTGAATTAACATTCAGTAGTAAAATAAAGGTTATAGACCTCATTCATAAATCGTGACGAGGCCTCGTATCCTAGGATACGGGAACAAAACGCGGGAAAACAAGCGAAAACTGCTTGACAAGCCAAATTCAGATGCTACCGTGTTGACTTTAGCGGCTTGTTTCTTGTTGCTTTTTGCGATTTATAACGATTTTTGTGTGTATTTTAAGACTTTGTGCCCACAACGAAAGCGGTAAACGAGTATATATTACAAAAGCAACCGGTTTTTCTCCCGTTTTTGTGTGGAAAAAATGACAACGTTAGCGGTGGTGTTTATCCAGAAGCGAAAAACAGTATTTTAGTGAGATTTTAACATCGATATAAAGGTTTATTCCGTGAAGAATCAAGACAACTATGGAATGGAAGTATAATTTTTCGAATTTGACATAAATATGAAAGAAAATAACAGTAAAAAATCACAAGGGAACGTCAAATGTTATTGATTCGTACGGAAAAATATGAACTATGGCTGTGGCTCGATAACATTCTGCAAGCAGCTTACAAGTCATAAAATAAAGGCTACATTACCTCGGAGTGAGTTGTAATCCTATTTCTTCAACAATAGTTTCATATTTCTTACGATTTTGGTGTTGTATAGACGTTTTGTAGCCTTGTTGGTCGTTTGTTTTGGCCATACAAACTACGACAATAATACAAAGTCAAAGGTTTCATTTTCTCAGAAGTATTTCTTTCAACTTTCAAGCTCAGTTTTATAGATATTATTTTCGAAAAAAGCCGTAATATTCACGAAAAAAAGCTGCCATAGCCGACAGCAAAAAAAAAGTTGTCAATTTTCCCGCGTTTTTCCCCGTTTCCTAGGATACGAGGCCTCATCACGATTTATGAATAAGGTCTATGGTTTTGCCATATAGTTGGTAAATGTAACACAATATACCGAAAAATTCCGGTATATCGGAAATTTCGGTATATCGGTACGGTATGGCTAAATATCCGATATTGATATACCGATATTGATTTAATACCGATATTTTTGGTATATCGGTATACCGAACAGTCCTACAGTGAACTAGACTTTTGTGGACCGGCACGTGATACGGTTTTGACCAATGCAAACGGAAAAATTGAACTTTGACACTAACCGCATAACAATATTTAAATTAATATTAGTTATGTTGGAGTATATATTTAAAAATTTGGAGTGCATTCTGATATCAGTATTGTAATGGCGGGAACATTATGCTGCCATGCGTGTTATATTGTTGCGCCGATCTATGTGTTGTCGAGATCTAGATCTTGTGTCTGTCCATATTTAAGATGTCGTAATTCTGGGGGAACACCGGGGGGAGTGCGAGAAAAATATTGAATTGCGTACACATATTAAATTTGCAAGCTTTTTATTCTGGATCTGACTTGATCATAGATATCTAATTATATACACTAGATAGTGCATCTAATTATTCTGCAATTCAAAAATTGAAGCCGTGATTGCAGACTCAGGTCGTTCCCATGAAATGAGAAGATTCGCATATTTTCTATTTCTTAAAAACGGAACTTAAACATGAAGTTAACCCTATGCCAAATACGTTTTTAAAGTATTCAAATGATGAAAGTTATTGTTGTTTTTAAGCGTTTATTAGCAAGTGGGAACGACCAACATGGCCGCCATCTATTCAAATGGGGGTAACCGCTGGAATATTCTTGGCTTCAATTTTACTAAAAGAGATGCGCTATCTAGTGTATATAAGATATCTATGGACTTAATGCAAAATAGACGAACACTTCCCGAAGAAACCAAGTAACTATGGCTTTGTTTAGTTGTGTTAATAACCATCAAGGCGATGAACTGTTTAGCGTTCATCCTAGAGGCAAGAGATGTGCTTTAACTGATTATGAATTTATTGATATGTGAAAGCCAGCCAAAACCATGAGTATATATAGTGTTCAGTTTGTAGATGTTTATAGTTTGAAAATAAACGCGGAATGTTGTTTAATCAGGCTTACTGTAATAAGATTCCTAGAGCAACCCAATGTGGATTGTTGTCTGCAGCACGGTCTGCACATATTGACTTTTATAATATAACACCAGCTAGCAATTTAATACATGTAATATAGTATGTCAACTGACTTTTGTTTAAGACATGACCATACCTAATTTTAAGAATTTTTTATCACTGCACATTTTATTGCAAAAATTTCCGAATGACTAAGAAAATTTCCGAATATTCGGAAATTTTTGGCGACCTCCCCCCCCCCCGTCGCCAAGAAAATTTTGGTCAGTGTACCATTTTAAGGGTCAAAAATTTTTCCGGACATACCAAAAGCCAGATATTAACTAAAAATTGCCTGAATCTCATGATTTTCGTACAAAAAACATATACTATTATTTAATTCGATAATTTGGCAGTCATCATTTCAATTTCAATTAAATCATTCTCTTGTGTTAATTAACAACTTATCAAAGCAAATTTTATCACTGCACATTTTACATTTTATCACTGCACATTTTACTTTTATCACTGCACAAATTGGTTATCACTGCACACTAAAATTAGGTATGGACATGACTGTCTGTTTATATATATATTATATATCTTTGAGGTCCCTGAGATATGTCCATTAATTGTTAGCATAATATGAACACAAAAGGAAATGCTACGATACGTTAAGACGAAGTGGAAAACTGGCTTTAGTATCTTTATATAAACATTGTACAGTATTCAGTGGTAAGCTAGCCGTGGCAACTGACCATGCTATGCTATTAAACCTGCCTCTATATTTGAACAATGCAAATCATTAAAAACTTGCATAGCATGACCTGTTGCTATGGCCAGCTTCACCACTGACAGTATTATGGTTATACATAGAAAAGCAAGAAGTTATAAGCATTGAAGATATTCATATAAAACCGCCCATGCAAAGAAAGCCGACCTTCGACTTTGTGCAAGGTGTTTGATATTCAAATTGCACTTTTCATACCTCCTGAACAGGCGTTTTAGGGGCTGTTTGCATGATGGAAGGCGGTGATTTTGATGTATTGAAATATTAGTCACTATGTAAATGAACTTCAAATACCGGTAATTAACAGAACTCAAATGTTGTAGAAAAGATCGCGTGGTTCAAGAAAGTTATTATGTTGAACAACCTTTCGTTTATAGTTAGCTATAATCCATGCATCTCTAGAAAATAATAAAGCTTTTTGCTAACAGGGACGTCGTGAAGATATCAACATTTGGGGGGGGGGGAGTCGTCATGTTTTGACCAACTTTTCCTAGAATTTTGACCAAGTAGTAGAAAAGTTTCCCGAAAATGTTGTTCACGGGGCGGGGGAGCAAATCTTAAAATATTTTTCGACCAAAATAAGCAAGGCTTGCAATTGTTCAGTCAGCGCAAAGATGACCAAAGCTTAGAAATTTAGTTAACATTGCGAACGATATCGTAACTTTGACAATCTTTTATCTTAAACTTTGAAAATATCTTACCAACTTTGACCTTCAATTTTAAACAAATATTAGTTCCACTTTGACCAACTTTCACCAACGTTTGGAATTATTGGGGATGTGTTACACCCCCCCCCCCCCC